TGCCCCCCCCCCCCTGGCGCCGCCACTGGCAACCATAAAACTTTAAAGGCATTTCGTGATCTATAAAATATTCAACATATTTCATTTTCCCTAATGTAGCGACCCCTTCAACGGTCGGTTGTCCTTTAGGACTGCTATATAAAATCCCAAATTAACAGGGTTTGTTATTCCCCAAATTCTACAGTTGCTAAATACAAATGAAAAACAACAGTATATCATTTCCCATACTGATTTAGGGTCATTCTCAAGTTTGTGAACATGCTTTGATCAAATGCGTCCATCCCCAATGCCAGATGGAGTTACAACGCTCTCATTTGGGTGAACATTTAAAAAGCGAATGTGAATATCGGGATGTGAAATGTGTACTTTGTGGGCAAGATGTCACCTTTGCCTCGATAATGGTAAGAATAAAATATCTTAGAAAACTGTGATTTTATTTATATCACAAGACAAACTGGCTAAATTGTGTTTGCCCGGATTCTGGTACTTCTCTGGATAATTTGTCTACCCGAGGCATATGTTGTTTGCTCACTCTAAAACCACTGCATGGTTAAAATTTCCTGGTTAACTTAGAAATAACCCTATTTGGGTTAACTTAATACTCTTGGATAAATTTCCTGGTTATTTTATCTCACTGCCTACCATAGTCTGGTTAATGTAACCAGAAATCTGGTTATATTTGACCAGGACGTCCTTTTTAAAATAACCAAACTGTACTAGGTGGAAAAATAACCAGGCGCCCTATGTTTCCGAGTTCGTAAGTTATTACAAATCCATAAGTCTCCTTTTCAAATCACTTTGATAAACTCGTCAAGTCGTTTTCTATAGTTAGTTAGCCTCAAGCCAGTACACTCAATTATGCTCACTATTTGTCTAGGAACATGTTCGTACGAGCTGTGAAGGTGCACCCGTGACTTGCAGATACTGTAAGGAAGATGTCTTGAGAAAAGATATTGAAAAACACGAGAGACGCGATTGCTATGAGGCTACGGCAACATGTGAATTCCAGGCTGTGGGTTGCAACCATGATAAGGTAATACCGTAGTTGTTGTTGCTGTGTTTGCATTTGCAGTGTCGGTGTACACAGTGGTAGCTTGCTCATGCACAGACGTTGTAGTTCTTACCCGAGTGCCAAACTGAATTCCGCTACGTCGACCAATCAGAATTTACCTTCCAAATTCTGGAAAGTGACGTCAGTTGATTTAGGAGCGGAATAAATATAAATATATATTTTGAAAGCAGTCATTTTGGTCAAAATTGCACATAAATTGAATTTAAAGATACTGATACTTGTCCAGGTAATAAAATGCACCATTAATGATCAGATTTGGATATTAAAGATGTTCGGTTATATTTAAAACGCGGACAGGATTGGCATATTTATACTGTAGGAATCTTAGCCAGACAGCATCAAATGCCGAATATATTTCGCTGAAATTTTAACGGTTTATCTTTATAAGACAACAGAACTCGGAAGACAGAAAATTTTATATAATACTGTGGCTTAGAAAGCGAAATATTAGCTTCAAAGTAAACTAATTTGCTGTTTGAGCAACCATTTCTGAATGTAAACTGTAAACACAACACAAACCCGAGAAACTTGTATTAAAATTGCGCCGTGATGAATTTTCCAATTCGCCCAAACTTCGAAACGTTTATACTCTACCTTGGCTATACTTTTCTACATGACAATGAGAGCTTAATCTTTTAGAAGTTTTCGTCGAAGTCATGGCATATAGGAAGTATCAAGAGCAACATTTGGACATATCCTGATATACTCGAGTTTCCCGATTGATTGTTTGTCATTGTTAACAAAAATTTAAATTTCGCCTACTGCATTGCTTTAGCACTTTATATACACCGATTGTTTGCTGAACATGCGAGAAGATGATCACAATATTATTCTACGTAAACATCGTGAAGTTCAACGCTATAGTTTCCAAAATATATCCACGCAAGTAAACAAATTCCAAGTTTCAACCCAAACAATATATTCCAATGCATGTGCAAGGGCTTTCCCCAGTAGCTAAT